GTGTGAAAAACGGTCATAAGTCACTCGCTTCAGATTTTTCTTCCGAATGATTTGTTCCTTAATCCCTGATGAGGATACCTAGCTGGGTAATGAAAGGTCTGAAAGAGAACAATCGAAGTCCCAAAGGGTGAAGATGACAGTTTTCCTGTCTTCCTCCTTGAAAGTTCAGCTTTCACTTTCACATAGTATTGGGAAATACCAAAACTTTGTACAATTGTCGTCTTCTGAAATGCACCTCTCAGTATCTGAATATCCTTTCTTAATTCCCAAAAGTGCTTTTCAAAGGCATTTAGCTTCTTATATAAGAAGAGAGAATATCTCCCTCATCTCTCTCTCTCCCCCTCCCTCTCTGTCTCCCCTCCCTCTCTTGCTCTCCCTCCCTCTCTCTCGCTCTCCCCCCCTCCCTCCCCCCCCCTCTTCCTCTGCTCCCCCCCCTCTCTCTCACACTCACACAAAACATAGATGATCACATGACCCCTGTCATATGCTGCACCTGTCATAACACAGTTTTCAAGTACCTGCAATTTAATCACATGATTATGGGGATACTGCAACAGTTTTAATTGTGAAAAATGGTCCTAAGTCACTTTTTCAGGGCCGCTGTAACTTGTGGCCGCTGGATGAGCTGTTGTGTGTCAAGGACTACCTCTATACATAAGTGTTGTTGTCTGCATGTCACCACAGTTGCTTCGATGTTGACATCTCTACTGTACAGAATGCCACTACGCTCCTTCCATTGTTATTTCAGGTATAGCTATATTGCATAGCAATTCTAGTTGACTTGGGCACTTTTGGGGACATCTCAGTGCTATCGAAACAGGCCCTACAATATTATTCTGGCACCATCGTTCTGTGTGAAGGTGCTTCGGATGTCTTTCAAACACTTTGCATTGTCCTCGCCCTCAATAAATAACTGATCCTTGGAGATCAAGGGGGCACGTGCGGGTTTATCTTCTCTAGCAGTTTCAGTGTGTGTGTGTGTGTGTGTGTGTGTGTATTTGGATGAGGCTATTTTTGTATCTGAAAAAAATAAATTGGGTCTGAGACTGATCGTACCTTTGTTTATTTTAGGACAGAAGAATGTATAAGATGGACACCCCAGTCACACACTCTTCATACCAACCTACACAGTTGGACAGAAACATGTATTACATCTTGACTGAAAACTACCATTATGGCAGCAAGCTTTTCCACGCAGGGAGCATGTGTTTTCTGAAAGAGCAGATATACCTGCAGCACATTAGCAGGTCGTCTACTCGCATGTGGCGGTTTATTATGGAACAGGATGGTTCTGTGGCTACTGTGGACGTGGAAAGCCTGCAGCCGGTGAACGAGAAGATGGCCGACTTCCTTCTGGCCATTAGCAACGCGCAGGAACGCTTGAACTGTTTTCTAGACAGGCAGGTTCTCGATGCCGCCATGACGGCTGAACCAGGTCAGCAGGTCTTGGTCGATCTGGAGGATCAGTTTACCCCTGCGACCATCCGCTACATTGGGAAACTCCACCAATGCCCTTTACCATCAGGGGTCTATCCAATTTACTTTGGAGTGGAATTGCAGGTAAGAGGGATGTAATAAAAAGGGCTTCTCTTTGGGGGCCAGACCCTGGGAAAGCACAGGTAGTCCTCAACTTAATTCACTTAGTGACCGTTCAAAGTTACACCAGCACTGAAAAACTTTTAGGATCGTTTTTCATACCTATGACCTTTACACCATACCCACGGTCATGTGATCAAAATTCACCTGCTTGGCAATAGACTCATACTTACAACGGTCGCAGTGTCCCAGGGTCACATTATCCCCTTTTGAAGCAAAGTCAACAGGGAAGCCAGATTCACTTAACAACAGGGTGACTAACTTATCAACTGCAGGGATTCACTTAACAATAGTGGCAAGGTCGTAAAACCTGGCAAAACTGACAACAAATGTCTCACTTAACAGCACAAATGTTTGGCTCATTTGTGGTCGTAAGTCAAGGACTGCCTGTATATTTCCAATATATGCTCACTCTCTTTTCCTTTAACGAGTTCACCTGTACCTGTAGTCAGCTGAAACCTGTTGTATGCAGACCTGTCTGCTCAAGCAGGTTATATGGTGAGTTGTCACCTTCAGCATGAACGGAACACTTTTCTGTTTGGGAAGGATGGAAATTTAAAATACAAGTAGTTCTCAACCTACAACCATTTGTTTAGTGACCATTCAAAGTTATGGCAATAAAGGAGAATCTTTGTAGCCCAGGGTTGAAATGTGGGGTCCTTGGTGCCCTCTGAGCTTGGAGGTTTTCATCCCGACATTTCATTATCTAAACTAAGTAATGTAACCAAAGCTACATGGCACTGAACAAAGTGACTGACGACCAGTTTTCACACTTACCCCATGGTCACGTGATCAAAACCCAGGCATTTGGCAAGTAGCATGTATTTATGTCAGTTGTACTGTCACAAAGTCAAGTGGTCATTGGTAACTTGACCGGCCGGCTTCCCACTAGCAGAGTCATATTCGCTTAACCTGGTTAAAAAAAAAAAAAGAACTTTATAAAATGGGGCAAAATTTATTTAACAGCTGCCTTGCTTAGCAATAGAAAGTTTAGACTCAATTCTGGTCGTAAGCGGAGGACTATTCTATGCCGCGGATCTCATTGGCCAAAGAATTCTTACTGGTGGGGTCCCAGAAGAAAAGTTTCTCTGCCGTTGCCCCCAGCATGTGGAAACACTTCCTTCCCTCGGGAGTGAGGCGAGCCCCCCACTCTCCTATCCTTCTGTAAAGGCAATTATGGGATGTCCAGAGAAGCATGCAGCCACAGGGCTGATTTGGCACCCTGAAAGCCCCCCCCCGCCTTTTAAATCAATGTTAGCATTTTATTGCCTCTTTTAAATTTTACATACTGTTTTTGATGCTTGTAATATTTTATCGTATGCTCCTCTCTGAGGGAGATGGGTAGTTCTTAAGTATAACTTACAGATAAATATTAGTGATAACTTACATCTTGAGTCTTAGTCTGTTAAATGTTTATTGTTCAAATCTAGATCAAGTAAAAAAAAACATAGTGATATAGTCTGATCACAGGTAGTCTTTGAGTTATGGCTAGAATTGACAACAAAATTTAGCTTGCTAAGTGAAACATGTCTAAGGGAGTTTTGCCCCATTTTTCTGGTCACAGTTGTTAAGTGAATCATTGCATTTGTTAAGTTAGTAACATGGTTGTTAAATGAATCTGGCTTCCCCATTGACTTTTCTCATCAGAATGCCGCAAAAGGGGAACATGTGACCCCGGGACACTGCAACCGTCATAAATATGAAACAGCTACCAAGCATCTTAATTTTGACCATGTGGATGCTGCGTTGGTCATAAGTGTGAAAAATGGGGCATGAGACCCTTTTTTCAGTGCCGTTATAACTTTGAACGGTCACCAAATAAACTGTGGTAAGTTGGGCACTGCCTGTATCAGGATTCTGCTGACTCCCGTGAAGGGTCTCTGTGCTAGAATTCACAGTTGCTGCTGTTTAAGAGTAAAAAGAATGGAAAGCAGAGGTGTCCAACCTTGGCAACTTTAACACCTGTGGACTTCAACTCCCAGAATTCCTAGCCAGTTAGCTGGAGGATTCTGGGAGTTGAAGTCCACCTGTCTTAAAATTGCCAAGTTTGAGAAATACTGAATTAGTGCAACGCACCCTGAAAAATTCAATCTGCCCCAAAACTAAGATTATCTCCTTGGGGAAAGAGTTTTGACTTGCTTCAACCCTAACCAGATATCTGTGGATGTGCTGAGGAATTCTGGGAGTTGAATTCCACCTGTTGTATACATGATGGCTGGGGAATTCTGGGAGTTGAAGTTGCCAGGGTTGAGAAATAATGAATTAGTGCAATGCACCCAGAAAGATTCAACCTCTGCCCCAAATCTAAGAGTTGTTATCTCCTCGGGGAAAGAGTTTTGACTTGCTTCAACCCTAACCAGATATCCTGTGGATAGTCTGGGGAATTCTGGGAGTTGAAGTCCACAAATCTGAACACTGCCAAGGTTGGGCACCCCTAGCATAAGGCTGTGCTGTGGAGTCCCCTCAGTCATGACCTCTGTCTGCTACTTCTCTAGGGTGACGGTGAAGGCAGAGGCAGCTGTGCCGGCACCTGCCATGGAGTAGAATACTTCAAGTGTAAGCCCAAGTGCGGCCTTTTCCTGCCATTCAACAAGCTGCAGTTTCTACCAGCCTCAGAGACCGACCAAGTGGAGGAGAAAAGGCAGAAGACTGACGGAATCATGCCAGTGAAAATGGGCGACACTGTTGGCTTTTATTTAGAGGATGCCTTCACACGAGGGATAGTCCTGGAAGTGTATCAGGCGGGGAATCAGTGGATGGTGAAAGTATGTCCGGTAAGGAGGCCTCGAAGGGAAAACTAACTCCTGCAATGTATTTGTTGGTTTGATTAGCTTGTCTCTTGTCTCAAAGGTGCTTTTAAAAAGACAATCAAGCTTTCTTTTTCTTTTTGAAAACGTTTTGCTTCTCATCCAAGCATCTTCAGTTCAGTTCTTCAGTTCTTGGATGAGAAGCAAAACATTTTCAAACCCCACATTCACCAGCACTGATGTTACCTATCTGGGTAATGAAACGTCTGCAAATAAACAACCACACTTAATTTTAATGGAAGAACACAGTCCAGTTGCCTTTTGAAAATAATTTTTGGGACAGCCATGACCTAGAAGATTTGAGAATCTCTATAAACCTGACACTTATTTCTACCCTGCCTTTGTTATTTTCATGTATAATTTAAGGTGATGAACGTACCTAATCCTCCTCCCTCCTTCTCTTTTCCCCACAACAACAATCCTGTGAGGTGCCTTGGGCAGAGAGAAGGCCCAAAGGATGATCCTTCCGTGTTAAAGGCTGGGACAGCATCTTAGCTGGTCCTGTGGCAGCTTTTAACTGGGGAAGTAGAATGACATTCTAAGTGGGCAACTTGACTGAGCTAATCTTTGCTTCACCCATCAAATCCTTGATGCTTGAATATTGTTGGGCATCAGGCTAAGCAGGTTTGAAGCTCAGGAAAGCTGTTTCATCAGCCTTAGAACATAAAGCATAGAATAATTGTCAGGTGCAAGGAACTGGGAGGTAGAGCTAGGTCCAAAATGAATAGAAGTTTATTTCATGCTACCTCTAAACAAGAATCCGGACTACTAACAGCCAAGGCAAATAGGCGGTAAATAAGAGTCAATAGAATTCAAGGAAGGCTGGACAGATCTCTTGTGGGCATGAAGGGACTCTAAACTGATGATGCATTTGATCCCTCCCTCCCTTGGGATGGACCTGGTTATCTCCTACAATAATAGGATTGGAAGGGGCCTTGGAGGTCTTCTAGACCAGCTCTCTGATTAAGCAAGAGATACCATATCAGAAAAATGGCTGTCCAGTCTCTTCCTGAAAACCAAGTGATGGGGCACCCACAATTTCTTAAAGGCAAGCCGTTCCACTAATTGATTATTCTCACTATCAGGACAGTTCTCCTCCGTTCTAGGTAGGTTCTCTCTTTAATTATCTTCCACCCTTTACCTCCGGCCCTCAAATGCTTTGGAGAATGGAGTGACTCCCTCTTCTCTGTGACAGCTCCTCAAGTACTGGAAGGCTGCTATCATATCATCCTTTGTGATAGGTTACAGCGGTATAAAACAGCCTTTTCTGTATTGGCTGGGTTGCTGGGAATTGGGGGAGCTGTAGTCCTAACACAACTAGGGGGAGTTGTCCTAATTGTTTGTCACTGACTGAGCGGCCATACAAATCCTCTAAACAAACACACACACACACACACACACACATCGAGCTGGCTGCATTGTAAGAGCTTGTGGTCCATATGACTCTTTCTGTTCATGCATTTTGTGACTCGCTTGGATAACCAGATACCCCTGGGAACAGTTACAAACAATAACGGCCTTTTTATTTTGAGAGAGAAAAATATGAGCTGGTTTTTTTTTTTTTCTTTTCCAGAAAACCTCCATTCCCTTAAACCGGTTTGTTTCTTTGCTTCTTAGGTGGGAAAGGAAATAAAAGTTTTGTAAAAGCTTATAATACTTGCTTTGAGAAAGGTAGAAGAAAATTGGAAACTAATTAGCTTGCGGGAGTCCAATGTCCCTGCAGGGGACATATGGGGACATACGCTACCGGGGCCAAACATGGATGTTTACAATAAAACATAAACAAAAGTTAAGTCACCATGGACCTTTGAGGAAAGTAGCTGGAGTGACCAGAAAAGACAATATCAGGAATAAAATCATAAGAGAAAGAATAGGCATAGAACCCATCTTAAGCCACATACAAAAATAGCCAAGCGGTTTGCTCACCTGGAGAGAAAGGTCTTGGGATTCCATACCGTACAAGGCATATAAAAAAAGAGGAGAAGGTCAAAGAACACGAGGCAGACCCAGGCATGCCTTATTTAAGAGCAGAAAGAAACAAAACAGAATAGTCATTGCTGAATTATAGGAGGAGAGCATTTATTAAGTGAACTCAAGAGCGTATTAGAAAACGTCTGTCTTCCCCAAGTGAGATTGAGATTACTCAATTTGTAAAACAGCATAGACAATCAACCTTCGTATCCTTTTTATAAGGATACAGTCATTAGGATACGGTAGATAGAGATGAAGTGACCCAGGATTGCCAAATTTCATGAGATTCTCACCATCTGACGCCTGAGAACACTGGCAAAGAAACATCGGTATTTCTTGGGAATTGCTAATTTAGTGAGGTTTGGACTAATTTGAGGGCTCCACAAGTGTGTTGCCAATTGACATTCTGCAGGGTTCTCCAAAATATTATTTGTTTATTTATCAATTGATTGATTTACTTATCTGTCCATCTGTCCACCTCTCTCTCCCTCCCCCCCTCCCCCCTTCCCTCCCTTCTCCCTCTCTCCCTATTCCTCTCTCTCTGTCTCCTTCACCTTCTCTCTCTCTCTCCAATCTGGTTTATCTGTCTCACTTTCCAAGTGACTCCAGGTGGTTTACAGACAAATTAGTTATGCCACCAATCTTTTCATAAGATTAGGTTCTCAGCAGCTGTTGCCAGCACCCTCCTGAACTGAATGTGGCACTTAATATTTCCCCTGGATTTTTTGTGATGGACAGCACTTTCTTTGTAGAGCAACAAGGATGATCTCTGAACATGTACTTGTGTTTTTCTGAAAGAAAACCTTTTTCCTCCAAGTAATATTATTTTAAAATTAGAGAGTTATTTTAGACTACCTACGAATAAAATACAGAGGCAGGGTGTTGGGCAAAGAAGATTTCATTTCTCATAAATACAGGGCGATCTTATTTTACTACTACATACTACTACTTGACTATATGATGGATTGTACAGAAAAATGCCTTCCTAAAAGCTGTCTATGGAGATTCTCCGTCATCCAGATCATGGTTGTCCCCAAGGTGCCTTTTTTCTCAAGAGGCAGCTGGACTTTCTGGTTTTTCTTTGAAGACATTTTGTTTCTCACGCAAGAAGCTGTTTCAGCTAAGAAGCTTCTTGGATGAGAAGCGAAATGTCTTCGAAGGAAAAACCAGGAAGTCCAGCTGCCTCTTGAAAAAAAAAAAGGCACCTTGGGGACTTCCTGAAGGCTGACATTTTAAAACAATCCTCTAGACTTGGGCAAAGATTGGGCTGAAATTTCAATCATATTTTGCCCTTGACTCGATTGATTTGGAATCCAGTTGCGTAAGGAAAATGACACAGCACATTTTTTTTTTCTCATGTAAATTCATCAACTTGAATTTCATCCCTCAGGTCTTAAAATCCAGTGAAGTTTTCCTTCTCTCCTTTGTTTCAGGAGGAAGAGGGCTCGGCAGACGTTTTCCGGGAGATCCCTCTGGATTCGGTGGTGAAGGGGGAGCTGCTCTGCTCAGGTAAATGGCTTTTTGGACAGTTTTTATTGCCCTGAGTTTGGAGGCTGGCTGAAAAACAAGTACACAGGTAATCCTCAAGTTACAGCCGTTTGTTTAGTGATTGTTCGAAGTTACAACAGCACCGAAAACAGTGATTTAGGACCGTCTTTCACACTTATGACCTTCATCGTTTCCCTACGATCAAAAATTCAGATGCTCGGCAACTGACTTGTACTTATGACCGTTGCTGTGTCCCAGGGACACAGGAATCCCCCTTTTTTGACCTCCTGACCAACAAAGCCAGTGGGGAAGCCCGATTCACTTAACAACCATGTGACTATCTTATCAACGGCGGTCATTCACTTAACGACCGGGGCAAGGAAGGTCATAAGATGAGCCAAAATTCACTTAGCAAATGCCTCACTTAAAACAACCAGAAATTTGGGGCTCAGATTATGGTTGTAAGTCAAGGACTACCTGTAGTCAAATATAACGGAGCAGGGTGTCACACCTGCTCCTCTCTGGGCTTTTAGAAAACATCGTCACATCAGAATTAAAAAAGTTGAGCAGAAATAAATAGACCGGCCTCGTTTTTCTGTATTTGACGTATAGACTCGGATTCTGGGCTCCAGGATTATCTCAAACGTAGGAGAAGCGATAATTCAGTGAATTCAGAAGACAAGACTTCCTCTCTAGACGTCAACTCTGTGGTGCAGATCAACTTAGACAAGGGACGTGCTATGACGGGGACTATCCGTTGGATTGGCTGCCTGCCTAATGCCCAGCACAGGATGGCTGGAATTGAGTTGGTAAGCACCCATCCTTTTGTACTATGTCCCTGTGTCTCCTCCCCACCCTTTCTCTCTCTCTCTCTCTCTCTCTCTCTCTCTCTCAATACCGATGGATGCTGGTAGGCAGAGGCAGAATTTTCCCCCCTTATTTTCCTCCCCCCCAAAATAAGCCTGATCACATAGTTTCGTAGTGAAGCACAGCATCGAGCTAGTGTGTATATATACATATACATATGTATATATGTGTGTGTGTGTGTTTGTGCGTGTATACACACACACTATACACACACACACACACACACACACACAATGTGTGTACCAAAATGCTTATTGAAATGATCAAATACAGGTAATCCTCAACTTACAATAGTTCGTTCAGTGACCATTCAAAGTTACGACAGCACTGAAATAAGGGACTATTTTTCACACGACCGTTGCAGCATCCCCACAGTCACGTGATCAAAATGTGGACATTTGGCAATTGAGTCCTATTTATGACGGTCGCAGGGTCTCCCGGGGTCACGTGATCCCCTTTTGCAACCTCCCGACCACGAAAGCCCACGGGGAAGCCAGATTCACTTAACAACCCGTGCGATGAACTTAACAACTGCAGGGATTCCCTTAACCACTGTGACAAGAAAGGTCCTCAAATGGGGGCAAAGCTCACTTAATTATCAATGTCCCGCTTAGCAGCATAAATGTTGGGCACCATGGGGGTCACAAGTCGAGGACAACCTGTAATAGGATGCCTGTCCTCCTCCCTGGTAGGATGAAGAGAACAACAGCCTTTCCGATGGAGAGTGGCAAGGGGTGCGCTACTTCACCTGTCCTCCGCATCGGGCCCTCTTTGTGCGGCTGGAGTCGTGCCAACCCGATTCGCGCTTCCAGGGAAACAAGAGCCTGTGTGAGGAGCCCTCTGAATGCAGTAAGTCCCTTCCCTGCAGCGGCTGGAGGTTGACTCCCTGGAGCAGGGATGGCGAACCTTTTCCTTGTCCCGTGCTGAAAGGGCGCGCCCCCGTGCCTCCACCCATAAGGCAATGTGGGGCCCCCACGCATGGGCGGCAGATACCCAACAATCAGCTGGCTTGCAGGGGTTGCGCACACATGCGCAGGGGGTCTGTTCCCGGCAACGGCTCATGTGCCACAGAAATGGCTCTGCGTGCCACTTCTGGCGCATGAGCCGTAGGTTTGCCATCACAGCCCTAGAGCCTTCAATGGGCATCGGTTTGAACCCTTGGTCAGGGCAAGAAAATGAGTTTATATGTTTACTTATAAGTAATTCAAGGCAGCAAACCTACCTAGCACTCCGTCCTCCTGTTTTCCTCCCAACAACAGCCCTATGACGTGGGTGAGGCTGAGAGAGAGTGACTGGCCCAAAGTCTCCCAGTCGGCTTTCATGCCTAAGGCAGGACTAGAATTCACCCTCGCCTGGTGATTCGCTCAAAGTCTCCCAGTCGGCTTTCATGCCTGAGGTGGGACTAGAATTCACCCTCGCCTGGTGATTCGCCCAAAGTCTCCCAGTCAGCTTTCATGCCTAAAAAACTAGAAACTGTGGAACTAAAAACTCTGGAACTAGAACTCACTGTCTCCTGGTGATTGGCCTAGAGTCATCAGGCTAGTCTAGAGAAAAGAAGGACTAGGGGTGACAGGGTACAGTGTTCCAGTATTGGAGGGGCTGCCACCAAGAAGAGGAGGTCAGCTTATTTTCCAAAGCACCAGAAGGAAGGAGATGAAACAATGGATGGAAACCAATCAAGGAGAGAAGCAACCTGGAATTAAGGAGAAACTTCCTAATGGTGAGGACAATTGACCAAAGGAACAGCTGGCCACCAGAAGTCGTGAGTGCTTCTTCATCACTGGAGGTTTTTAAGAAGAGACTGGACAGTCACTTGTCCGAAATAGTATAAGATCTCCTGCTTGAGCAGGGGGCTGGAGTAGAAGACCTTTAAGGTCCCTTCCAGCTGAATTCTGATTCTGATACAGCCAGCTTTCATGGTTCACCCTCTCCTGATTTCTAGGGACCTTAACCAGTGCACAAACTGGTTCATATAGTTAAATTGTTCCTAACTGATGGCTCTTTACCCTTTGCCCAAACATGTCCAGGAACTCACCATCTTTCTAGGCAAGTGTGACTGATCCTTAACCAGGAGGAACAAGAGGCTCATAGGAGTCTGACCCACGCCCTTTTCCAACAAGTCAAAACACAATCCAAAAGGAACAGAAACCTTGTAATGCTTTTACAAAATAATTAGCTGTGATAAGCACGAGCCTTGCCAAACTGCGCGAGACTTGCCAAAAGATAACAGACAAGAAATAATTTGCAATACAAGAATCTTCAAATACAAACTCAGCATACTGGAATGTCCATGAGGCTGAGTTTCAAAACGTCTTGGCTTCCTGCAAAGTACGTTCCTTTCACAGCTGGCTTTTATCTTCTTGAAGGGAGGGGGCATGACCTTGCAGCCTTACTCCCGAGTTGCCTGTGCTGCTGCAGCTTTTCTTTCCTGCGAGCAGCCCCGCACGCATGCGCCCTTAGCACAGGCTCCTCAGGAACCTCCTCCTCTCTGCTGCCAACCCCCACAATCTCTAAAGGCAGCAGTCTACTCCCTAATGGTTCCGGCCCCTCATCTGAGTCCTCGCTCTCCTCAGCCGTCGGCACCTGCTGCCAGCTAACCACAACAGGGTTTTTTGGGGGGGGGAGGGGGGAGACTTTCTGCCAAAGCCACCTGCCTCCAAAGGGAAGAAATTCACAGTCTCAAACCAGAAGAACTTTTAACGTGATTTCAACTATGTCATAACTCAGCAGGCAGTATCTCAGCTGTCAAGCAGACAGGATGGGTGTGAGATCCAAAGCTCAATGCAGGATCCAAAACAAAGCATCATCCTTCTCCTTTGGCTTGGCTTGGCTTGAAAGACAGCCAATAAAAATGAGTGTATCGCCTCCTTTAGTAAAATTTGCACTGCCTAGGAAAGTTTTCTGAACATTCACCTGGGATCTACCTACCTGTAACCCCAAACCATTAAAGCATCCTTCTCAAGCGTAGAAAGTTAGTTTGAGGAAGTTTCGAGATCCCGTCGCGGGATTTAAGCTGCTGGCAATTGACCGGTGGGGATTTTGTCAGTGTATTATTTAAGATTTAATCTTCAATTCGATTTACAGTCTGGGACTGATAAAAACTTAACGGTTCAGCTCCTAACCAAGGACCTAGGAGCTGTTAAGGTAACATCTGAGTATATAGGCAGTTCTGAATAAGGTGGTTTTTTGCAAAGTCAGAATATTGCAAAGTCTGATAAGTCCAGAGTTTTCATGTATCTAGGCAGCCTTTTGGGGATCGCTCCAAAGGCTCCTGTTACTATTGGTAGAACCATTTATTTCCACAATCGCTCGAATTCAATTTGCAGATCGTGATATTTTGTTATTTTTAATAGCTGTTTTCTCTCCAATTCTTGCGTCACCTGGTATTGCAATATCAATCAACATGACTTTTTTTCTTTTCCATAATCGCGATGTCAGGTGTGTTCTGTCTGTCTGGATCCAAAAGTCCCACAGGATCTTGACTTGCTTATTTTTAAGAATTCTCCTCCTCCTCCTCCTCCTCCTCCTCCTCCTCCTCCTCCTTTCTTCTTATTTTTCTTTCTTATCCTTATCTCTTTTATACATTAAACATGAAACTCAGTCAACTGAACATTTAAAAATGCATCACAAATACCAGTGACTGGCGCTGATGGTTGAAACGGTTCGCTGCCAGCATCCTAGAGGTATCAACCGAGCATCTTGTTAAAATAGAAGATGTTCTGTGTAGCGCGGTTGTTGTTTTTTGCAGTTCCGCTGGTGTTATTGCAGGAAGCTGCAACTTCTTGATGAATTTTGCAAAGTTCTTGGACACGGTACCAAGTGCCCCGATGACAATGGGTATCATTGTTACACGTTTCATCCATAATTGCGTAGTTTCGATGGCCAAATCGCGATGCTTTCTGATTTATTTTTTCTAGTTCTTTTTCTTCGACCCTGGCATCTCCCGGTACATCGATACCAATAAATTGTACGCTTCGGTTTTCAAGAACTGTGAAATCTGGCATGTTGTGTTCCAAATGGTGATACGTCTGTATTCGAGAGTTATCGTTATTATTGTTGCCGTTATTTAAACGGAGAATCCTGCTCTGTTTCAGGAGAGGCGGACGCTCTGTCTGTCCAGAGCAACTCCCCACCCCTAAGAGCCGAGGTGGCCGTGAATGTCCTCCGAGGGCGGATGAGAGGGATCCAAGGCCACTGTAACTCCTGCTACATGGACGCTGCCCTATTCAGGTTTGCAGCCCTACCAAGCTTCCTTCCCCCTGCAGGGGAGGGTACTGCCTTTGGAGCTCTGCTCGTTGATCTCTTTGCTTTCCCTCCCCTCCATCTCGCTCTCCCTAAACCTCTCTCCCCTCCACCCTGACGCGTTGGACTGACCGGCACGTCCTCTCTCCCCACAGCCTCTTCTCCTGCACCTCGGTGCTGGATTCCATGCTGTACAAGCCCTCTCTCCCCGCTGACGGGCGCATCCAAGAGATCCTCCGGGACAAGATCGTCAACCCTCTGAGGCAGTAAGTGGCTTCCTGCGCGCGCGCGCGCGCAAAAAACGTAGCCGCCGAACCAGTAGTAACACCAGTTGAATCCCACCGCTGCCCTCACAACATAATACAGTTGGGAATTCCAGGCTCCCCTAGGGTTGTAAGTCAAGAACGTAGGTAAAGTAAAGAATATAAGCAAAGAATTCTATTCCAAATTCTATTCAAAACAAGAAAAGAAAAAATCCTATCCGTGGCAGCTGGACCAGGCTTGGCATGGATTTTAGTGGCCTGAATTGAAGCCATGACTTAGCGGCATTTTTCTTTTTCCTTCACCTTTCAAAAGCAGAATAAATTGAGCCCAATTTTGTAGTTAAGGCACGGGATGGACATTGCTGGGATTTGGGGTGCAGAACAGTGGCGGCCAGAATTTAGTTCTGGATTGTGTCTTGAGATTTTGCCTTTTTTTTTGTCTGGGTCGTACACAGGAATGGCTTTGTCGCTGCCAAAAGTGTGATGGATCTTCGGTATCAGCTGACCGAAAAGGGACAATCTTCCAGTTTTGCTACTTCGGAGAAAGGTGCCCCCTTTTTCCTCCCTTTCTCTCTCTTAATATGAAATGGTGAGATTCTGCTTTCGAAATTGGGGGAATGAAGGTGCACCTGGATTCCCAAGATCACTGGCTGTGATTTTTGTGGGAGCGATGGGGCAGGAGGCAGGGATTATCGAATACATTCCCAGGCTGAACAGTGGTTTGATGATCTGTCTTTTAACTTTTATATGTAACAATTTTATTGGCTTTATACCAAGGCTCTTCAAACTTGGCAAGTGCAAGACTTGTGGACTTCAACCCCCAGAATTCTTGAGCTAACCTGACTGGAGGAGGAGGAAGAGGAGGAGGCATTCTGGGAGTTGAAGTCCACAAGTCTTAAAGCCGTCAACTTTGAAGACCCCTGCCTTATACTAACTACGGCATATAATGAAAATATCAAAGTAAATAATAGGAAAGATAGGAAAAGAAAAAAAGGGAAGAGAAAAGTGGGGGAAAGGAAAAGAAAGGGCATTGATTTCTGACTCCTTTCGGTGCAGTAGAATAAGGCATTAGCATCAAACCTTAACTTTTTAATTTTTGCATAACAGTTTAAAACTAGCCATTTCTATAAGAACAAATCTATCAAATCGGTAAAGCCCCAAAATCAAAGTTTCTTTCTTTTTTTTTTTTTTCTACCCCAAGCACAAAGTCTAGAAGTGGTTTCCAAGCAGAAATAAATGATGGTTTGTCTTTTATCAAATAAACTAGAACTGGCTTGACTGTGCCAAAGCCAAAGAGAGCGCCATTTTCTTGGAGAAAAGGCAAACTAAGTTTTTGAAAATCCCTGAGTGAATTCCGTGCAGGGCTATGGAGCATGAAATTAAGAGCCTTGTGCCCAGTTAGAATGGTTAGAACAATCAACCGGTGAAACCACTTTGCCTGTAGAAGTTCTGGGTTCTCCATCACGGGAGAAAAATTTTTCCTGGACAAACATTTGTCTGAAATGGTGTTAAGGTCTCCTGCTGGAGCAGGGGGCTGGACTAGACAACCTCCCAGGTCCCTTTTAGCTTTGTCATTTTGTATTCTGATTGGTGAATTGCGAGGGAATTATTCAAGGTCTGACTGTGGCAGGAACTGACAACTCTCAGTCTGGGCAAGGCATTCCAGAAGGGGAGCAAAGACGAAAACTTCCGTCCATTCCCGGCTGCCATCTCTTCTTTCCTTATAGAATGTATTACACTGTAGGGTTGATGCCCCAATTTAATTCACAGCTGTTTGCAAAACCTTCGTAAGGGAACGAAAAGGCGGGACAAGAAATGACAGAGAGATAAGAGTCTTACCAAGGAGTGAGCCAACCTCTAGAACTAAGGAGGAATTTCCTGACAAGATTTTATCTGGCCAGCAGAGCGTAAGGGGGATTCTGGGTAGGGGCAAGTGCTTATTCAGAGAAGGGTGTGTGCTTCTGGCTGTAGCAGCGTTTGTCCTCCACGGAGGGGGGGGGAACAAGGGGTGGGTATCCTAGGGTGCTGCATTTGACCCGGAGGACCCTCCTCTGCTCTTTCAGACCCCGAAGAATTCCTGAATCTGATCATGCATCGCATTCTTGGGCTGGAGCCGCTCTTGAAACTGCAGTAAGTCGATCGCACCACCCCTTCCATCCTCCCCCGGGTTATTGTGAAGGGGAGGAAAAATCGCCCCGGAAGAGACTCCGCGACCTTTTGAGACGTGGTCTGGCGGTAACTGATGATGACCTGGTAAGAGGTGCCTCTCTAGCAAGGGAGAAAACCAGGCCCGGGCCGTGCTGGAAAAGGGGCAGCCAGTCAGGCCTGCCTCAGCTTGAACTCCCTAAGTGTGGCACGGTAGCTGACCCGAGCCTCAGGGAGCTGCCTTGTCTGCGAGCAGGAAGATGACCATCAGAAATGACCACTTCCACCAACACCGAAAGGGCAAGTCACTAGTAGACAAAATGAGAGTTAGCCCCGCTCCCACCCAGCACTGACGGCGTTTGCCTAGCTGGGTGATGAAACGTCTGCAAGGAAACGCCCGAGGTCAGAGAGCACCGATCCTCGTCCTCCA